GAGAAGGAAAGAAAGAAAGGGAGAAAAACATCTATCCGTTGCCCCAACCTGGGGATCAAACCTGCAACCCACGTATGTGCCCAGACCTTCTCTGAAATCAATTATATATATATATGTATATATATAATTTTTTTCTTTTTAAATTTGTGAAGTCTTCCTTGTCACTGTCATCAACAAAACCCTTGAATGTCTATTTTTATCTCTGGAGCCTTGCTCATGGTGCTCTGTGCTTCACTCCTGCCATCTTCCAGGTGGTTTCAACATGCTACATCGACCTCTCCGATTCCTCAGCCTGCTTACTACAGTACCTTATTATCAATGTTCAACTCCCAAACTCCTTCACAGCTACAGCGGTCTTTCTTACCCTCATAGCCAAAATTCTAATTTTCTTTTTACAAAAAAAAAATAAAGTCCCAAAATAGAAGGGAAAACCCCGGTATTAAAGTTTTTACAAAAAGAGAATCCATAACTGATGTTTTATTTGATGTCTAAGCTGTTATAGTTATTAAGAATTGTGTTTAACTTCATATAACTTAAAACAATAGTGGCTTAAACAAGACATTTCTTCCTTAAAAGAAATCTGGAGGTAGGCCAGTCTAGTGCTGGTCTAGCTTGTCAGTACATAGTCATTGGGATCTAAACCTGTTTTTTATTTCCAATCCTGTATTTGTGTATCTGACTTATTCCTTGATATCATCCCATAGGCCAAGATAGGTGCACAGTTATTTTGGCTCCAGCCATCTTCTCTGTAATCTCAGCATTAGGCTTGGGGAAGGGGTGGAGGACTAGGAGGCCTTCCAGCTAAGCAAACTCCCTTTGTCTACACAGCTTTCCTCAATCCCCTTATAATAGTTCTTATTTACATCTTATTAGCCAGGCTTTGGCCACCTGGTCACATCTCCCTGCAAGGGGAAGGCTAGGAAATGTAGTCTTTTAGGGAGGCCTGTTGCTGCCCCCAAATTAAATCAGGGTTCTGTTATTAAGGAAGAAAAGGAAAGGAATCAATATTGGGTGGCACTTAGCAATGTGTGCCACAGCAGTAATCAATGACCTCTCCTTTGAAAACATGGGAAATCCACTAGAGTATAAGTTCCACTATATCACCGGTGCCAATCACCCACCTGCCTTGTAGGGACTCAGTAAATAATGGGTGAATAATTTAATTTAATTGTGATTATTATTTTTCTCATTACAGGCACATATAGACAGATACATATAGAATACATAAAGCACTTGAATAGCGGAATAGTTCATTAATAGTGGAATATTAATTAATAAGCTTGTTAGTTATTAACAAGCTTCAGGGAAATTGCCAAACCCTGTTTCTTTTTTTAAATAGTAATTATAGTTAATGTTTATTGAGAGCATAGTATGTGTTTGTTGTTGTTTTTTTTAATCCTCACCCGAGGGCAGCAACCTTTCCATGCACAGGACAATGCTCAACCAACCGAGCCACTCCCACCAGGCCCTAACTGTTCCTTCTTAGACTCACAAGTTATCTTCTTAAATTTTGACACTTTGTGTAGCCTTGCTACTTAAAGTACACGGGAGCTGGCTAGAAAGGGCAGAATCTGAGGCTCCACTCCAAAGCTATTGAATCAGAACCTATATTTTAAACAACATGCCCAGGTAGTGCAAATGTACATTAAAATTTGGGGAGCTTTTTTGTGCTTTAAAAAAATACACTGAACCACAGATTTACCTGCACTCGAATTTTTTTTTCTGCACTCGAATTAAGGTAGTGTGTGTGTGTGTGTGTGTGTGATGTACCAGTGCTTCCCACCAGCTGGTTGGGATGATTTAAACCTGCAGGAAATAAGACAACATCAAATTGTATTTGTCTTAAAAGTTTCAATTACTAAAAGTGACCCTTACATAGGAGGTGGGGTGGAGACTAGTGTGTCCTGTGCAGTTGCTCAACACACACTCCCTCTCTGCCCGTTGGGCAGCTTCCCCAGGCCTGACAGCTGGGAGAGGGGCCAGAGGCTCAAAGCCGGCTGAGTAGCTGCTGCAGTGCCCTCAGGTGACTCCCGTGCCTTAAACCCCACTGTCTTGAAAATCAAGCAGTTAATTGCCTAGCAGGGATTAAGGTAGTTGTGAGAGTTGTTTGTCTGGTTGAGAGGTTTTAGCTCCGAGCTGGAATTTTTGACTCAGAAGTAAAAACTCTGGATTCTTTGTCTCTTTTTATCAAGTTTCTGGATAAATGGCTGGACTGAAGAGTTTTGCAGGTTTTGACAGAGCTCAACAGAGTAATTATTACTGGTACTGCCAAAGGTGAGGTGCTTTTTCTTGCTCAGTGAAAATGAAGGTTGCTTAGGGTTCTATTTCTTACATATTTTGGGGGCAATTTACAAACGATTGCTTTGAAAATGGGTGTTCTTACGCAGTTAAAGCAGAAGTCATACTTACTTGTAACTTTTGGGAAAGGAGAAAGTTCTGTGGTTTTGGACGACTCTGCCTTGGTTGCTGATGCCATTCCTGTCGTCTCCCCTCTACTATTAGAGTGAACCCTAAGTTCCAGTTCTACCAGAGGGACCCCTTTGGCAGCGGGTATGAGCAGCAGCACAGCTGTCGTCTTCCTGGCTGTGGCCGTGGTCCCTCAGTGGATGGAAATGAGCACACTTGGTCTGCGCATGGGCCCTCTGGACTCCCAGCTGGAACTCCCATTGCACCCGAGGTATCACTCTCTCAGTGGACCGTGTGTTGGTTGGTGTGCCCAGCGTGAAACATCTTTTTCCTACCTCACACCTCCACATCCTGCCATTCAGTTTCCCACAGCGGTGGCTTTTGCTCCCTATTGTAATACCAGAGAGTAACAGCTGATGACCCCAGAAATTTTGACTTGCAAACGATTTAAGTCCTCACTCTCTTCCAAAAACACAATAATAGGCTGATGCCTAATTTCTTGTTACTAAATTTTAGATGATCATCTTTCAGTAGATTTTACTCTTAAACACTTAAAATAGGACAGGAGGTAGGTTTGTTTGTTTTGTTTGTTTTTTTTTTGGCATTGTTTTGATACAGCAGTGAACATTAACACTTTTTAAAAGATATTTTAATATTTTGATTACTCAAGTAACCTATTTCTGAAAGCCTCCCCCCACTCCCACTTCCCCTTCCCCTCCCCACTTCAAGACAACGCTGTTGAAGTTGATCTTGTCCTCTAGATTTTCCCCCTGTACTCTTGCTAACTCAGTGTGATAGGGCTTTGTTTCTGTTTGAGGAGTTGGGAGCGCCTTGGGCAGGAATGGACTGTGTGGTATATACTTGTTCGCTTCTTGCTTGCTTCTGCTTATAGATTGCATCTGGAGCGCTTTCTTTAAAGCTGCCCATTTGAATGTGCTTCGAGTTTAGCTCATCCCTATGGACTAACATTTAAAAGTTCTCACTGCCTTAACAAACTTTTACTTATTTATCTTCAGGCATTTGAGTGTTGTTATTTTTTGGCTAAGAACAAATTCTGGAAGTGGAAGATTTGGATTAAAGGATATGTCATTTAAAATTTTAAACAGCAACTTACCAAAAACCTGCTTTCCAATATTGTTTGTAGGTGTGCTTGCTTCTGTTTTTTTGTTGTTGTTTGTTTTTCTGTGTGATTAGCCAATTGGACGAGCAAGGCAGGCATTTGTCTATTATTGAGTGCAAATATTTTTTCAGGTGTTTATTGGTATCTGTTTTCTGACTTAGTTGATGTTTTTTGCCTACCTTTCTTCTGGTGTGTTGTGCTCCTTTTTCTTGACAGTGTAAGGTGTTTACATATTAGGGAAATTAGCCCTTTGCAGTCAAAGTGTCACAGGCTTTTCTCCCCAGTTTATTGCCTGATGTGCACAGTGTCACTTTGTGTGATGGCCTTAGCCTTAACACCAGAGTTGAATTGAACAGCTAAGCCCTGTTTTTAAAACTTGTATTTGCTTGGCAATTTTTTTGCCCAGACTTTCATTTTCAGTTTTGCAAGTCTGTTTTAGGTGTGCCTCTTAGAGAAAATATCTTGTTAGACTTCTCACTATTTTTTTCTTTTAAACCCAACCTGGATTGTACCCTTTTAGCAGATGCTTCATCCTTCCTTCCTATTTAATAAAAAGGTAAATTTGTGTATTAAATAAAAAGGTAATACACAAATTGACCCAATGGCTGTTCTACCGGTCGCTATGATGCGCACTAACCACCAGGGGGCAGATGCTCAATGCAGGAGCTGTCCCCTGGTGGTCATTGTGTTCCCACAGGGGAAGCAGCACTCAGCCAGAAGCCCTGAGCCGGGCTCATGGCTGGTGAGCACAGCAGAGGTGGTAGGAGCCTCTCCTGCCTCCCAGCAGCACTAAGGACCCCTCAGGGGATGTCTGACTGCTGGCAGGGGGACTTCCCCCGAGGGGTCCTGGACTGCGAGAAGGCTCAGGCCAGGCTGAGGGTCCCCCCCCCCCCCCCCCCGCACAAATGTTGTGCAGTGGGCCTCTAGTATTATATATTGTTTTAAAATCTTGCTACATTGCCTGAGGTTTTAGCACATTTTTTTACCCATTTTTTTCTTTTTCTTTTTTTTGAGAGAGAAATGGTTTATCTGACTTATAGTGGCTATCTTTAGATCTTTAAATAGAGAAGTATCGGTTTGAGTATATTACCAACTCCAGAAATGAAACTATTTCTTTATCTCTCCACTCATGAATAAGAAATTAACACTTTTTTTCCTCTCCTTGCCACCCCTTCCCTTCTTCTCCCCATTTGTGTTGACACATGTTGATTTTTAATATTTCATTCTCTAGTCAAATTTTTGTTATAACATGCAGTTTTTCCTTCAAGAATTATATATTCTCTTTAATGGCTATGGTTACCATACTTGTGCCACCTGCCTGCTCTCTTAGTGGGAGTTCCCGGTTAGGAAACTTGGTGGGAGTTTTGGTCAGCAAAACTCAAGACTGTAAGACTCTCCAGTGAGTCTCACTCACCATCTTCACTTGAGTCTTCCCTAATAAGGTGCACCCTCTATGAGATGTCATGGCTTTTCCGCCCACTAGCACACCCAAAGCCCTAGCTCTTATTTCCTCAAGTGAAGGGGTTAGCCCAGGGGTCCTCAAACTTTTTAAACAGGGGGCCAGTTCACTGTCCCTCAGACCGTTGGAGGGCCAGACTATAGTTTAAAGAAAAACTAGGAACAAATTCCTATGCACACTGCACATATCTTATTTTGAAGTAAAAAAACAAAACGGGAACAAATACAATATTTGTATTTGCATGTGGCCCGCGGGCCATAGTTTGAGGACCCCTGGGTTAGACTCTCCATTTTGGCATTGTGTCCTGCTTAAGATTACAGGAGGTGATGTCTTCAAAATGATTCTCAGGTCTTTGGGTGTCCATCAGCACAACTTGCCCAAAGTACCTCCAACAGAGGAAAACCATTTATAGATGTGCCCTTCTTCAAGGACAACCAGCAGCATACACTCTCCAGGTGAACCTCATTCTGTAATGCTCTATCTCCAGACAGCTCCTGCTCCCTACAGCCTCTTAATTTAGGATCCATATTTACCAGAGTACATATTAAAAAGGAGGAAATGTGAAGTTACTTGGACATTGTATTAAAAGAAAGGTCTCATTGTTCAGGTCAGTTTTGCTCAATGGTTAGAATGTCGGCCCACAGATTGAAGGGTCAAGGGCATATACCTCAGTTGCATGTTCCCCAGCCCTGATAGGGACATGTGCAGGAGGCAACCAATCAATGTGTCTCTCTCATGTCAATGTTTCCCCCCCCCCCACCCTTCCACTCTCTCTAGAAATCAATGGAAAAAATATCTTCAGGTGAGGATTAAAAACACAAAGAGAGAGAGAGAGAGAGAGAGAGAGAGAGAGAGAGACTGACTCATTTAAGCACAGATTCTGGCTTCTTAGTCATTTCTAAATGGGAAAAAAATACATCAGAGGTGTGATTAAATTTATGGTAACCATATAATTTATTTTGCAAATCGGGACCTATTTCAGAGCAAAAGGGAGGCATACTTTCAGATAGATTGAAAAGAAGTGGTAGTGCAGCGGTTCTCAACCTGTGAACCATCCTGCATATCAGATATTTATGGTTCATAACAGTAGCAACATTACAGTTATGAAGTAGCAACGAAAATAATTTTATGGTTGGGGTCACAACATGAGGAACTATTTAAAGGGCCAAAAGGTTGAGAACCACTGAGGTAGTGGACCTTTGGCTTTCATTGCAATATGGTCCTTATTAGCAGGGGAGCTTAATTAAAGTCATTAGTGCCTCCAGCTAACTCAGCGCTTCCTGGATGGGCTGAATGCTTGGAACAGCTGTACACCCTTAACAAAAACAGGATTCCAACAGGTGCCTATAACGAGGAGTCATAGGAACTCATGGCCCAGTAGAGCAAACTGTCTGGGTTAACCAGCCAAGATCTATTTGGGGAATACTTCTGGAATTTCCTTCTCTCAGTATGTAAGGCGATGGTTGATTGGTTTCTTTTTCTGTACCCTCTGCATTTCCTTAAGCACCTCCTATCCCCATCCTCGGCTGAGCCATGGAGTTGGTGGTCTGATTAGAAGGTGTGGTGGGGGGATGTGCGTGTGGAGACTTTGCACATTGCCATCTGGAAAGAAGGCCTGAGCTCCAGGTGGAGAGTTGGGCTTCTAGTACGGGGACTGTGGCGACTGGACGCCAACATTCCTGGGGTCGGACGCCTGTCGCAGGCCCTAGGATGTCAGTTCTCAGACGCTTCAGAGAGGCCAGAGGCCTTTGTTGGGCTTGCTCCTCCTTTGTGGGTTTTCTTCTGCTGATATCGTTCACTCATTTCATAATTGTAATATATCATTTAAAGATTCTTCTAGTCAAAGTTCAAAAATAAATTTAATCTAAAGAGAGTTTAGTGTTTTAGATATTATTTGTGAGAGTTAGATTTTTCTAAGAAAGCCTGTGTGATAGTAAACCTTTAAATGAAATTTTTTTTCCTTAAAATAAAATACTGATTTTCATTGTAGGAAACCACAGCTTTGGCGGGAAACCAAGATGAAAACCTACTAGAAGGTAACGTAAAGCCTGTGTTGCAGTACTTAAAAACAAAACTGACAATCGCTAGAAACTGAAAGGTCCTACTGGAAAATACCAGCGTAGGTTGTCTAAGCCATTTTCTTTAACAATTCATCTACTCTTTGGAAATTGCCTCTGTGGGAACAGCTTTAGTGAAACCTCCTCTCTGGGTCTTTCTGAAGGACTGGGAAATGGGGGCATTCCCAAAAAATAAGACGATAAGTTGATTTTAGGATCTGCTTCCTCCATAAGTTTAGACTTTGGGATTAATTATGCTTTAATTTAGATTTTTAGGCAGAAAAGCATGAGGCGCTTGCTGTGGCCTTGGCTTCCTGGCAGCGGTTCTCAACCTTTGGGTCGCGATCCCTTTGGCGGTTGAATGACCCTTTCACAGGGGTCACCACTGCCTTAGGGTTATTGGTTCCTGGAGGACCCAGCAGGCCCCCTCTGTAGAGTCAGGTGTTTCTTCATGTAGTTCTTGATCTGTTTTGAAAAGACCAAAGTGTATCTGCCCAGAGAAGAACCCTGTTTCTGCATGTGTCTTATTCGAGGAAAAAAAACATTTGGCTTCTTTTATTTATTTTAAGTTATGGGGAAGAGGAATAGAAACAAAATGCAGAGAACACGTTGTCTGTTTCCTTATCAAATGTCTGTCTTATCACGTGTCCATCCGGTCTCTTCCCTACCCTCACCTCATCCCTACAACCCACTGCCTCTGTGATCTTATCAGATCTGGAGCATCCATCTCTGTAGTCCCAGGAGCCAGTACAAAGTCTGCATGTTATTTGGTGTTCAGTGTTTACTAGTAAATGGAATGAAATTGATGTTTAAAAGAAAACTAGGGGCAGTTCCAGTTTGTAGTACTTGATTGGAATATGAATAACAGGTGCTCATAGTAGCTGGGGGGATGGGGTGGATTTCATTCTGACTAAAGTGTGTCTATGCTCCCTGTTTTTATCAGTTCTTCAGAAACTGTCTATAAAAAGAACAGAAAAAGACATACAATAAGACTGTGCTTTCTGGGGCCAAACTGCCAGAGTTCAGATCTCTCTTACTGGCTCTGTAATTCCACATTAATTAATCTCCAGTGCATTGGTGTTCCCACCTGTAAAAGGGATTTAAAACCTACTTCCTATGAAATGAGGGCAGTAGCTCTAAAGTGTTTTTAAGTGTTTTCACAGGTTTTGGCACATAATAACCACTCGAGGGTTAGCTATTTACAGATCTGGAGCAGCTCTGTCCAGTAGAAATGTATGGGAAACACAAATCCACCCACATAGGTAGTTCTACATTTTCTAGTAGCCAAATTCAAGAAACAAAAAGAGACAGGGAAAATTAATTTAAATATTTTAACCTTAATCTAATATAGTCAGAATATTATTTCAACGTGTAATCAATATAAACATTTAATGAGACTTAAAAAATTTTAATACTAAGTTTTCACAACGTAATGTATGTTTACATCACGTTTCACTTAAGATTAGCCATATTTCAGGTGCTTGATAGCCAGTGTGGCTAGTGGCTACAGCATAAGTCTAGAAGGCCCACAGGTTTAGGAAAGATGTAATGAGTTTGACTTTTATGGGCTTCTATTGTCCCTATGGCCAACATCACTGGAAGGGCCTAGTTCATTAATCTAGGTTCCTAGCTGACGTTTGTTTTCTAGGCCACAGCCACAAGAGAGAGAGTGCTCATAAGCATGCGCTCCTGACACCTTTCCCCTGACCAGGAACATGCAGAGTCAGGAGCCTTTTAGCAAACAACTGCCCAAGACAAAGAGGTAAAGGACCTAACACATGACTTTAGGGGAAAAAAATTTCACAACATTCAGGGAAAAATAGAAACATCTAGCCATTGCTGGTTTGGCTTAGTGGATAGAGCTACAGCCTGTGGACTGAAGGGTCCCAGGTTCAGTTCCGGTCAAGGGCACATGCCCAGGTTGCGGGCTTGATCCCCAGTAGGTGGCTTACAGAAGGCGGCTGATCAATGATTCACTCTCATTATTGATGTTTCTATCTCTCCCTCTCCCTTCCTCTCTGAAATCAGTGAAAAATAAATAAATAAATAAATACACACACACACACACACACACCCACACACACACACACACATATATAAATAGAAACATCTAATATTATGACTAGAAGTTCTCAAAGGAAAGATGGTTCCAAGGGATAAAAACTCTAAAGAACAAGTGCTGGGATCTTTCTCAGTATCTAAAAGGGTTCAGGAATCTGGAGAAGGGGCTGCACATAAATTAATAAAGAGACTAGAAATATAAATTTGGAATACATGGGGAGCCAGAGGAGACTTAGCTATAGTAACCAAGTTCTGTCTATCTCTGGACCAGGGCTTTTTGGCCTATAGCAAAGCAGATAATACATACCAAAAGGTAAAGTTTGGTATACAGTAGGGATTGTCAAGTTGGGGGAACTGCCCTCTGCTGTCTGGCAGCAGGCAGTCATACGTATCTTCAGGTTTGGGGAAGTGTCTACAGCTGTTCAGCTGTTTGGCCAGCAGCAGGTAATAACATGTAGATTTTCAGGTTTGGGGAAATACTTTCAGCTATTCCAGCAGGCAATAATATGTATCTTCAGCCCTGCTGAAGTCTCAAGGTTCCATCAACCTTTTGATGAAACTTCTTGCATTTATGACATGCTGGAATTAGCCTCCAGCAAACAAGAATCTGACAACACAGTCACAAATGACTCCAGTGCAGAAAAATAAGAAGTAGCTCATGAAACTTATATGATGGGCGGGAGCTATTAGGTGATCTTGGTTCTAAAATGATAAATACAGAAGGACATCACATTAGTGAGTTCAGGCTGCTATAACAAAATAATGCAGACTGGGTAGCTTTAACAGCAAATGTATTTCTTGCGGTTCTGGACAGTGGAAAGTCCAAAATTAGGTGCCGCTGATTCGGTTTCTGGTGAGGGCTCTCTTCCTGGCTTCAGATGGCCACCCTCTCATATCCCCATGTGGTAAGGAAGAGAGATCTAGAGCTCTGCTGTCCTTTTTTTAAGGCACTAAGCCCGTGGATCTAGGGCCCTATACTTATGATCTCATCTCACCCTAATTATCTCCCAAAGACCCCATCTCCAAATAGCATCAAATTGGAAGTTAAAGTTTCAACATGTGAATTTGGGGGGCGGGGAGGCACAAACTGTCTGTAACAGGCATATCCTCTATAATAAAAAGCAAATATGCAAATTGACCAGTGGAACTACTGGTCGCTATGATGCACACTGACCACCATGAGGCAGATGCTCAACGCAGGAGCTACCTCCTGATGGTCAGTGGGTTCCCACAGGGTAAGCGCTGCTCAGCCAGAAGCCGGGCTCACAGCTAGTGAGTGCAGCAGTGGTGGCGGGAGCCTCTCCTGCCTCCATGGCAGTGCTAAGGATGTCCGACTGATGGCTTAGGCCCGCTTCCTGCTGGGAGCAGGCCTAATCCGTCAGTCAGACATAACCTGAGGGCTCCCGGACTTCGAGAGAGCGCAGGCACCGGGACTCTAGTAAATAAATATGAGTAAATAGCATGAACACGTGAATATTAGGAAGCACATTATGGCCCTAAATGAACTAAGGCTTGCAAAAGTTTTAAAGGAAAACAGAAAAGGCTTCTACAGTTACATTCAATACAAGGAGAAAAAAATGGACTATATTTAAAAAGTCAGTGATCTTGGAAATCTGGCAACTTTAACTCAACATCTAGGTCTGATGTTTTCATGATAACATAATACCACATCTCATCACAGGGTTTCAGGTTTCAGAGAAGGATGGTCAGGCTCCTCTCTTTTTCTAAATTAGTTGTTATATATATATAATTTGTGCATATACCAGTCTGTTAACTAAGTAG